ATTATTTTTGAACTAGAAATATTACATCTCTGTGTTGTGTGGTTATGTTTTTATGTAGTTGCAACTAAATTGCATGTTGATGATGTGGATCAAACTGGTGTTTAAGCTATGATGTTTAACTGAACAAGCTCCATCCCACCATTTTAAAGCTACAGATCTTAGCAACCTAACTGAGGCTCCCCAAGAAAAAAAATCCTGTATGTTCGTTTATTTACATCTTAATGTCATAACTGGAAACATAAACACTGTACACAAGTGAAATTACAAACACCATTTACTATAATTACTTAGCTGGACAAAAGTAAATATGTGGAACATGAGACAATAAATTGTTACATATACATACACATGTATAATTTTTCAGGGAACACTGTAGAAAAACTATGAACACAAAAATAACACTTTGTGACTAAAAGTGTTGCAATAATAGAATCTGCAGTCACAACAACCTAAAAAGACCAAACAGCAAAAAACACTGACAAAGGAAACACATTTTTTATCAGTGAAAAAATATGTCTCTACTTCACCTCCTTATATGATATGGTACAAAGAAGAAAGGCTTAAACTTCAGTGAGTTCCATTCACAACACAACACAGAGTACTGAATGAAAAGAACAATCAACATTTGTGTTACAGGTTGGTGGCTGGTGACACCTTGTTATCCAGCATATTTTTCAGGCTGGTTCCACTTGTCAGAGAACAATGATAGAAGGCCTCATCCTGCTCTGTCACATTCCTGATTATTATGGAGCAGTTCTGTACAGTAGGTTTAAACTTGAGCAAAGCCACGATTCACTCTCTGACCAAAGTACTTGTTGTAGGTGGCAACATTTGTCTCCCCATCATGGGAGAATGGTAGATGTCCTTCAAGTGATGTCCTTCAAAGCCAAGGATTTCTGTTCAAGTTAAAGTCCAACACAAAGGACAGACCTGTAAAAAAAAAACTGTCCTTTGGGGAAAACAGCCAGCTCAGTCCCTCCCCTCCCCTCAGTGGCCAGAACATACAGACAGAGATCTGATGACAAAATCAATCATCAGTCTATGGCCGGAGGCTTCCTGGTTCCACATGCACTTAAGGACATTTTGTTTGCAAGCGGTATTTGTTATGGACAAATTGTCATTTAAATCAGATCAGATCAGGCATGCCGTTCCTCCCAGTCACACCCTTCCAGGTCTCACGGTCATTGCCCACATGAGTGCTGAAGTCTTCCAGTAGGATGACAAAGTTTCTCCAAAGAGGGTGGGTATTCTTAACTGCCTTTTAGCGGGTAAGCTAGACAACAGTCAGGACCCGTTCCCCGGCCCAGAGGTGCAGGGAACAAACTCTCTTGTCTAACAGGAAAAACTCCAACTTACAGGCAGCACGCCAATGGGTACCAAGATACCTGGGGCCCACCACCTCTCACCAACAGCAACTCCAGACTGGGACATAG